CACAAAAATTGTTGTGCAAGTGCTCAGCTTACTGTTAGTCATTATAGTGATCTCTGGAATGTATTCCTTAAAAGCATGAATGTGTGTGACTTTTTCCCTTTTAAGTGGTCCAGTACTGTTTCAGGAGAAGGCACAGGGATTACGTTAACCTTTGTAATGAGAATGTTATAATTCTAAGTGGCATATTTAGGAAGAGGATGTAGCTACAGCATAAGAGGATGTGAAAGCATGGCAGCTGCAGGGAGATGTGGTTTTCATTGCTTTTGCACTGCGGGAGGATCTAATTCAATAAGTTGTCTGATGTCTTTACTTGGAAACTCTTTTGAACCTATAGGCTTTTTGGGGAAAAGGTACTTGAAGAGCACCTGGAAAAAAATATATAAAGTTCTTCTTGAATAAAATAAGAAGCTTAAATGAAGTTGACAATACAGTAACAGACCATCAAGACACAAAATCAATCAGTCTGGCTCTGGACAGTCTTATTTTGCTGTTCTGTTTTTCAGATGTTTGCGAGAGGTGTTCATGATTTCCAGTTTGTTCTTACTAATGGGCCTTCAAAAGGAACCGTGTTTGAAAAGTGTACGTTTCTCTCTGATAGTGCAGACAGAGACTATTCATAAGACCTAAGAGAAAATTTTTTGAAAGGACAGAAGTGTGTTGAGTGGCAAGGAGTGATGTGTTTGGTCTTTCAGTTTTCTGCGTGGAGTGGCAGCAGTACCAGTGTCAGGAAGGTCTTGACATTTCCTGAGGAAAAGTTTGTCCTTCCAAGCAGAGCAGCAGCAGTATTTTGTCGCTGTATAAGACAGTAAAAAGATCAGAAAGAAAAATAGCTTTCACAAATATGTATGGTGGTGATTTGTCTACTTCCTAACAGATTGGGTAAGGGAGAAACAGCACTGACATTTAGCGTGAATTGTGGCACCAGTTACAACTGAGAACGGTGAGGCACTTTTTTCTTTATCCTCAACACAACCATCATGTTAGTTTCAAGATACTTCTTTGTTCTTTTCCTTTGTCATTTACTTTAAATAAGTTCTCATCAGCTTTATGACTCATTTTCCCCCAAGAGGCTGGCAAGGTGGCTATGCTGCTGACAAAAGAAGAGACAAAGAGTGACTAGCTATCTCTGTTAAAAATAGGGTAGTTTGCATGCTGTTGTTTTTTCTGAGGACGCTTCTTTGAATACCTCATAGATACGCTAACCAGTTTCTACTTTGGATTGTAGTCAGTTTGCACAAACTGACTGTTTCCTTCCCCCCCATACAGCAAAATGGTCTATTGTGCCATGCTTGGTCCAACAACATTTTCAGGTGGTTGTATGAAAAGATTAGCTTAGTGCTCTCCAACACCACTTAGCACCATGTCATGACCCAGTACCGGGGTACAAGGCTAGTCTGGTCCCATGGAGTACCCATGGAGTACTATTTGGGATACCTTTTAGAATTTATCACACTAGTCAAAGTCTTTGGTCTCTTGTTTTAGTAGGAGAGGCTTTCTGGGAAGTCCATCTATCTTCCTACTGCTGACCCTTCGCAAACAGCCTGCTTCCCTGCTTGACTCTGTTTCTCACCAAGTCCTCTTCTCTCTTGCCTTTGGACTGCCTGTTTTTTGCTATGGAAAAAAAGAGATAAGGAAGCAGGTAATCATCTGCGCAGGAAATGTGCCACTGTTCTGGTGAGGTACCATCACCAGTCTGGTGAGCAGTGATGAGGGAGGAAAATGACAAAAAAAATTTGGGAAGTCGAGAGAGGCAACTACATGCTGGCATTGGCAAGGTGTAACCATATTTAACTTGGATAAGACTTCAGCGAAATGAGTTCAGTGAAGCTGAAGGAGATGTTGCCAGCAGGAGGAGGGGTGGAATTGGGAAAACAGATGCTGTGCACACTGTGATTATTATTTAGCCTGTAAGGAAGCATGAAAAATGCGAGTCATAAAACATGTAAGAAGATGCCAGCCTCAAAAAGATAGTTATTTCCTGGTAGAAATGTTAAAAAAAATTAAAGCTAGGAAACAGATGAAGAGTGGAGGAGCTGTACATCTTTACCTGGATGGAGGTCTTAGAAAATACTATTGCAAGAGAGCATTGGAATGAAATTGAACAAATTCTTTACAACGCTAAAGAAATAAATGTGCTTTATATATAGTACAGCAGTGAGTTATTTTGAATATGTTTGAGGGGAAGTTAGTGTCAAAATGGACTTAAGTTTTGGTTTATAATGTCAGTTCTAAGCCTGCTGCCTTATTAGGCCCTCTTCTTTCAAATGTTTGTAGAGAACATCCTATATCCTCTCCCTTAAAAATTTGAAGTGTGCTAGCTCAGCAAGTAGCACTTAACTTTTGAACTCGGTCCTCTTCTCCTCAACCTCAAATACCATAAATGTAGTACTGAAAAGACAAAAGTGAAAATGTAATGGTAACTGCTGCATTTACAAAGGATGGTGTACTTTTACTATTTTTAGATGGTACATTTGACTTGTGGCTACCAAATTGATGGATAATGATAGGCTGTTTTGCTACCTGACAAATGTCCCAAGATTTGTCTCTGAACAATTTTTTAATCAAATGTATAAATCAAAATTCAAGTACATGAAAGAATGTCAGACTGTGTCCTTCATTGTCTTCCAAAGTTGCCTAATATTATGTAATGAAAGGAGATTACATCAGGAGAGAAAGACATGAGGTAAAGAGAAAAGGGTGGGATTTGAAATAAGTGCACAAGGTCTGTGACATAAAAATGTGCTACAAGAGAAGGTAGTTGAATACGGCATGAGTTGTAGGGCAGATTTTCTACCTTGAAAAGTAACCCTTTGAGGACCAAGACATCTATGCTAAAGGGCAAAGAAAAAAAAAAAAAAACAAGTCCACAAGATAGGTTTGAGAAAGTCTTTGATGGGTTGTGATATTAAGGTCAGTTTGCTGTAGACCTTTACGTGGATAAGAGTCAGCTTAGAACAGTACTGTCCCACTGAATTGCTGAACCTAGAAGTGCAGGAACTGCGACAGGTATTTTGGCACTAGGAACAGATGTTAACAGCTTTACCAAGCAGAGAGAGACCCTGGGTATTTTATGTTCTGTCCAGTATAATTTACAGTCTTTTTATTTGCTCTTGTGAGCATGTGGGGAACTATACTTAGAGCACCTACAGTAAATACAAACACCCACAAAAAGCCATTTACAGACTGTGTCTGTAAATTTTGATTCATTCTCCTTATTTTGGTATGTTGAGCTCTCTGTTTCAGAAGTGCTGACGTCACACATTTTAATGAATACATAATAGAATGTTATATCTCAACTAGAATTTCAGTACTCATAGCTTATATATTTTCTGAGAAGTGTTTTCTGGAATGTCCGTTTACAGTTTTTACAGTTTTACTACTTTGGGAAAAGTTTCATTTTGACTTGACCGGACTGTTTTCATATAAGATCAGAACTTTGTCAGGACTTTTCAGTTGCTGACTTCAGTTAAAGAAAGTGCTTTATTTACATGTTCAAGTTGTCCTTCACACTTGCAGATCTTATTCATGCTTTTGTTTCTTGGCAAGAGGGATTCATTTCTTTTATTATAGTGCATTTATAGATGTAAAGAAAATGTAAGAATATTTATTTTTGTAGCTGGAATGAGACAGTGGAAAGTAACTTTGAGGGAGAAAAGAAGAATATTCTTTTTGGCAAAAATACAAGGTCAGCATCAGTAGTCGAAGCTCTGCCCCACCCTTCCTGCACATCAGAACAGCTGCCTCAGTTTTTCTCTCCATGAAACAAGAGCACTTATATTTCTGTACCTTGGAAGAGTTTTATAAAGATGATTGTATGATACCTTGTTTTGTAAATGAAGAAAACTAAAATGATTCAGACTTTCCTTAACATATCTCATTCTAAGTATGGCCACTTGTCAATCAAAAGCTGATAGTCTTCCGTCAGGTGAGTCTCCAACCCCATCTGTGTCCCTTCCTGCGTGAAGTACTGACCGCTTTTACACAAAGAGACAGCACTCCAGTTCCCACCTTACACACAGAACCACGCTCATGCATGGCAAGTAAATATTTTTAATTGAGCAATTCTTGTCTCATTATTAGAAACGACTCTTTTAACTACCAGAAATTATTATGTATAATCATTCTATGACAGTCTTTTGTGTTTCTCAATAATACAGTCACTAATTGCAGTTTTCACAGACTATCCATGTAGCTTCATGTAGCTAAGTATTACCTCCTCCTGCTCCAGGTGTTCTCACTTCAGCTGGAGCCCTGGGGTGTGATCCTGCAAACACATCTGTGCCTGATCCAAAGCCCATTTAGGTCTGCAGGAGTTTTCCCATTCAATTCAATGGGCTTTGAAACAGGCATTGAATGAATAGAGCACTGTTGGTTCTATTATTCCCAGGATTAAATTATTTATTAGAAAAAAGTCACGTGCACAAGCTGAGGTTAAACTAAGCCAACAAGTTATTTCTGTACGAGCAGAGGAAAGAAAATGATTTGATATTTTCAGGATAAAGAAATGTTATGGAGATTTTTATTTTTAGTCATCTGAGAAGTCCTTTTTGCATAATTTACTCCACTGTGGAAGGATTTTGTTTCAGCCTAAACAAGATTCATAATAAAGAAAAAATGTTGCTTCTCAGAGACAGTGTGATAAAATAGAGTTTCAGTTCCTAACCAAGTGATTATCTGGCACAAGCACTTAAAATGAGAGAGGAAGGGTCAGGTTCAAAAAGTCATACGAGTGGCTGGTAGAAAGGTCTGTGGTGGACTCTACAGGTTTCTTGTAGGTAGAGAGCAGTTCATTTTGCTAATCAGTGTTTGCGCTGGTGTGCAGATGGAAACATAAGGAAATGCACAGAGATTTTTTTTTTTTTTGTCTTTTTCTGGAGCACAGATGAAGCTTTGGCACCCAGTATTGCAGCATGTGACATTTACTAATAAAAGACCCATTGGGCAAAGCCTGTGGCTGCTGTATTGCGGAGCAGGTGATTAGCATCTCTCTTGAAGAAGCACGTCATGTTCTGTGCTAGGCTACAGCTGTTTTTGTTTTATGTTTGTTCTATATGCAGATGTTGCTATGAGGAAAGAAGTCAGCAATGACTGATGTGGAGCCTGTGGTCACAGATTTTGCAGCATCAGGAAGGGCAGGCCGCCGGAACGCTTTACCAGATATTCTGGGCTCTCCTGCTGGTGCTGGGACTTCAGACCTGCCACACAAACTGGCCGAGCTCTCCGTTTCAGAAGGTAATGCTTGCACATTCATGAACCAAATGTTTTTATGCAGTCATCCTTTGCTTTCTCCTTAAGACTTATACAATTGAGCAGTTTTTATGACAATGCTAATGTTTCTTTTTTTCATTTAGATGAAATTCAGCCTTCCAGAGCAGCTATCACTTTTATGTCCTAATGAGACAGATTATTTTTATCCCAGACTAAGTCTGCCATATCCACCCTCAGATCCACTGTTGAGTAGGCTGGAGAACAGGTGTTGGGAGCTGAATTCCAGTTCCACTGAACAAGAGATGACACTGTTACGCTGCTGGGCAGCTTGTTAAACCATCATTCTAACTATAAATTACAGTCTTTTCATGCACTAAGATTACTTAGCGCAAGACAGCAAGCTATGTTGTTAATCCTATTACAACTGTCATCCTAACTCAGGCATCTAAATTAAGAGCAGCCTAGGGGCTGCACTGACTTACACCTGCTACTAGGCCTCCAACATTGCTGGCTGAGAGCAGTGCCATATTTCATCATGCTCAGGTCTTTCCATTAGTTTGATAAAGTGTTGTGGTGATTAACCTAGGTTCCGTCTACCCCAGCTTGACATTGAGTTCTTTTTATTTTCAGGGGCATTTTTAGATATCACTGCTCAAACAAACTGGATTGAAGGAAAATCTGGTCTCTAATGCCTATGAAATGAGAATTATCAGCTGACCCTTAATATATGTTGCCCCCACTTTTTTTAGGTTCTGATTTGGAAATAACTTTTTCTTCTCGTGCTGTCACTGTTGCTGATATGATAAATGCCACTGCGACTGGTCCTCCCACTTCTGACGGCAGCGATGGTGTGAGGGCAGCACAGCAGGAGACATAGTGGATGGCCCAGGAATGCAAACCAGAAGTAGGTTACAGGATGGATTCCCAGGCCGCAAGGGTTCACGTTCTGTTCGTGTGTGGGTTAGCTGCAGATCAATTACTCAAAGCAATTAGAGGACATTGAGTACAGCTTCCTAAAGCCCCATAAATGTTGGGGGGGGGGGAGTACTTGCAGGAGGGGTAAGAAGGGATTGACTCACCACCTGTTGGCTTGAACATAGGAAAGAGAGGAAAACAAGAACCAGATGGGGGCTGGAGGGAGGCAATATTGTTGCAGAAAGAAAGGGCCAGGATTTAGGAAGGAAAGAAACATAAAGTGAAAAAGGGAAAGACAACACACGTGGTCAGATACGCTCAGGTATGGTGCTGCAGAGCACTAGTAAAGGGGACTAGGGGAATCTGGGAGAGTAGGTGGGAAGGACGGTGGGTGCTGTGTTAGAGTCCGTGCAAGGTAGTGCTCAGAGAGCTGTGTGAGTCCAGAGGCAATGAATGCAGGTGAAGCCGAGCTCAAATGTCTTGGCTTTGAGGAGAGATTCTCCTTAGGAACTTGAAAAGTGTATCCCTACAGATTTTCTCATTCTTGTACGTGCGACTGGAGCACTGAAAATCCATTCCAGATTATGGAGAGACTTGCTTATGTTTAGTGTTTTCATTTTCAAATATTATGTTTTTTGTTTCCAAATAGCTCTTCCACCTGGCACAGTTTGTACACAGTGACCAAGGGTCAGGTTCCAGCAGGAGAGAACTGTTTTCCTTACCAAAAGGGGAGGTAGAGTGGAATTGAGACTGTTATTAGTGTCAAGGACTGTGGAAGTAAAGCTCTTAAATTAACTGCTCCAATCCACTGAAATATTCATTGCTGTATTACGTATAACTAACCTTTGTATTGTTTAAAGCAGTGAACCTTGAGGCAGATGTGCCTAACCATGTTAAACAAAGCACAACAGATAAAACAGCTGTTGCTAAGTTCTTCATGTTTGTTTCATTTTGGCCTTTAGAAATTTTCCATGTGTTAAAAAGTATATTATTTCAAACTAAACTTTCCATCTTCAATCTTTCCCCCCTCCCCCAGATAGATAAAAATAAACATGAAAGAGTGGAAGTCTTGTTAAAAGAAATGTTACAACACAGCATAAACTACGTACTTAGCCTTCCAGACAGAATAACCCCCCTCTACTGGTGCCCATTCAATGCGTTATGAAGAGGAAATAAAACACAGCTACAGTAGTTTTAGTAAAATGTACTGATTTTTTTTTTCTTTTTTTTTTTTTTTACGAGTACAAGGACCAGCACTGAATTTGAAGAACAATTAAGAGCATAGAATCATCCTTTGCTTTTCTCATTGGCACATAGCTGTACCAGAGCATGTCTGGAAGGTGCAGTTTCTCTTATCAGTTGCAGTAGTGATAATAGGAAGTGAATACAGGACACAAGTCAGCCCACTAAGGTGCTTTTGAGGGTTGGGAATTGGGAATTCCGCAAGTATCAGATGGGGATTATAGTCCCATTTTGTTGTAAGTTATGCTTCCAATGACAGCAACCAAAACTTCAGCGAAATGGAAAGAAGCTTGGAGGTTCAAATACTGTGACTGGGAAACAGTTTGTGAAATATTTGTGGTTTTAACAGGCAACTGTTTTGCCTATTCTTGGTTGTAACAGTAAGTTGTTTTTAGAAAAAAGGAAAGCTGTTTCCAGCTTAGACTGAAGAGGCTGGAGGTTAGATAAATGAGAAAAGTGGAACGAGAATGAAATGTGTTTATATAAAGCATGCCTTATTTTTTTCTACTCTCAAGGATTCAGCTGAGGTTATGGGAAATGATATGGAGTATTCTCTCCATCTTAGTTCAGACTTAACTAATGCTCACTGGATCATACATGTCCTTTCTTGCTGAGATGTCACTGTACTAGTGAAAGGTTAGGAACAGGATGTGCTAATATCTTTTGTTTGGCATAAAAGAGAATATATGCCTGTTTGCATATATTCTTTATAAACGTACACAAGATCTTAACTGTGTGATATAAATTGGTGTGTACTATAAAAGTTACACAAGTTAATGTTCTCATTGTGAGGTACAGGAGAGATTTTGGCACCAGCTCAGAGCCTAAATCCAAAATTAAGATCCTCTGTATCCTGTCTGCTTCTGCTGGTGCCTAAGTTTTGCAGGCCTGAGACTCTCCAAATGTGATCCTGTTGAATGCCATAGTTGAGCCACATTAAACAATTTTTTGGTATCACTGGTGATCCGAAGATTACAGACGAGTCTGCAAGAAGTTTGGGGGCAAAGAGATTATACTGGCTTCCCACATTTGGTAATCCACTTTAGGAGGCTGTTCGGCCAGTAAATTCTATTGTTGCCTGAATTTTTGTAGATGACTATGTGCATAACTTTCTAAATCTTGATATACTCAGCAGCTTGGCACCTATTACACACCTATGTGCTCTCAAGTGTGAGATTACGTTTCCTCTAACAAACTACCTTCTCCTCTACCCTGTCTGCAAGGCTCCACTTATATTAGATATCCAGCCCCACACAGAACTACCCAATAGAGAAGATCACTCTATCTCCCTTTCCAAAAAAAGGCAGTGCTGCCTAATTTTGAAGGCTGTGAAATAACTCAGCTGTTAATTTCCACCAGTTTCAAAGGACTCTGAAGGCTCCAAACCTCTGAGGAGGCTTGCAACATCAAGCTGTCATCGCTGAGAGCTTTAATTGATGAATTGTGTGCAGTGGTATATATTTGCTGTGGTATGCAGAGACCAAGATATGCAAGTCTTTTGCCTGTTCATGGTATTTTATGACAAGTCTCCAGGGAAAATTGTTGCAAATGTGCCCCTCACATTATGAATATTAGGGTGGGTAAGACCTGGAAGACAGCACAACTGGATACTCTGAGCAGACCCTTCCTTGCCACCAAAAGCCACAGACTGTCATAGCTGAGTACACAAACCGCTTTGATAGCATTGGTAATGCCATGTGGGACTTGAAGATAGTGTAAAAATGATTATGCCTTGTTAGGAAAACAAGGCAAGATGAGTTCTCATTTCTCAGTGGGAGAACTTAAGTATCAAAAATGACAGCATGGAACTCTGTTCATCTGACGAACACTCATGCCAGGGTGCTTTCACTTAGATTAGACTGGAATGATTACAGGACTACTATGGAAGAGTAAGCTTCCAAATCACAAGAACAAAAAACCCTTCAATTTGTGAAGGCAAGGTGAATTCTCCTAGGCATTTCATGGCAAAGGAGACCAGCCAGATAATAACTGGCATCTTCATTTGCTGTAATGTTATCTACCTGAAACAAAGCAATGCTCAGAGGAATGTGATATTCTAACTTGACTTTGGAAATGAACCACAAAAAGGAATAATAGTAAAAAATTATCTCCAATCTGATTCTAGCAACCAAATGCACAGTGCTTAGCATGTGCAAGAAGCAGGCAGATCAGCACCAATAGGAAATTGCTTTTGGAAGATGCCTGTACAAGTTCTTTATCTTTTGATCTAACCTGTCTTTCTAAAGCACCTATCAGTGTGGTAATAAAGAGCCAATCCAAACAGCAATGCTCAGTAAACCCAAATATTTGGCTGCAGTTAAAATGCTGTGAGAATGTGTGCGATATATATGTTTTATTCTGTCTTTTTTAGATGAAGGAGCAGAGGGTGAAGAAGTACCATCATCCAAAGCCTCACTGGAAAGTCAAGAGTCAGAAGGCAAAAGCAGTAATTCCTAACACCTAAGGACTGCTGGATTAATGAAACCCATCAACAGACTTTCTAGAGTTTCCCTGTGTCACCAGTTCTGAAGTGTGGTAGCAACTGTGGCAACATAAACAACATTTTGCAGCACACTTGTACCTAAATGACCTTAACATGGAACTAATGTTTTTTTTTTTTCTACTGTAGTCCATCAAAAACAATGTTCTACAAATCTAAATGGGTTGAGAACTAAAGAATGTATCTGTTGTTTTGGGTTTTTTTAATAGTTGTAGTATTCATCCTAACCAATCTTCTTTGGCAGTTTTAATGAGTATAATTAGTAGATGTACGAAGTAATGACTGCTTCAAAATAAAATTTCCATTTCTTAATTTTCCAAAATAACATATTTCTATTCACTCATCACCTTAAGATGATCTTAAGTATGTACTAGATTACAGACATCTATCTGTAATTTATTTCCTGAGACTTTTGTTCTCTTTAGAGATATATAGATAGGGAACAGAAACATGAAAAAATATATAAATATATATGCATTAAATTTCTCTCCTCCTCCTGATTCCAAAAGGTTTTGTATTACTACTTAATCCACCAGTGTATATTTTTAAACTCTCCTGCATTTATTCAATTATGGCATACCATATCTCAGTTCTCCCTGTCCCAACAGTCTCGCTGCTTCTGTCATTTCTGTTCTCACGCTTCATATTGTAGCTGTTCATGTGTATCTAAAATAAAATAGCCACATTTGTAAGTGATTAAAACTGTTTAATCTCACTGTGGAAAATAAATAGTTATCCTGTTTTCTGCCTTCTCTTGAATCTTTGATGTCTTTTCTTTTATGATAAACTGTGGGAGGTTTGAGTCTTTTCTTATAATGTTTTTCGTTCACCTGCTTGTTGGTTTATTGTTTGCTGATGATGGAGATGTTTCAATCATTGTGACTTTTACAAAGATATTTTTTAAACAAAGAGTTTTTCCCTCTACTGAAAGGCTTTGTTTTGTTACGGAGATCATACTGCTGATAATGCTCAGCATTCATCCCTTTGTTGCAGGAGAGCTGAGATTCACGTAAAGACCTGCAGCTTTACTGCAGTCTGAGGCAGCAGCTTCCTGATTTCATCTGCCCACTCAGTCTCTCCACTGGATCGTAGTCAGATGGAGGAAGCATTTCTAATAGGTATGTTCCACATCCCACCTACAGTCCATCTATAAAGAACTTGTGTATTTACAGCTGCCAGAGAACTTGTAAGAGGCCTCTGCAAAGCTGCCACTAATACCAAGCATTTACGCATGGGCTGTCTTTTGTTGACAAACAAGGATAGGATAGATCTCATTCAACTGAACAGACCATCAGTTCCCACCTCTTACCTTTATTCACTCAACAAGTGCAGTATCTCAGAGTTACTTTCAAGCTTAAAAAAAGGTCAAATAGCCTACTCCACCGGAACAAAACAGGTGGCCTACGAGGACTGAGAGACTGAACTAGCTGACACTGGAGGACTAGAGTTGAAAACCACAGGGGAGAGAGATTCACTGTATCTGTGCTACACGCTCTTGTTGTGGGTTCCAGTCCCATTGGCAGTCCTTTATTGCATCTTGGTACATAAACTTGTTCAAACTTAAGCAGTTAATATGATCCCATGGAAATATAGCAGTTGAGTGTTACTAAAACACAATTCCTTATATGCTGTAAGTGGAGCATGTGCTAAAGTGCTCTTCTGGGTCATGGCCTATTTTGAATTCTCCTCTTCTTCACAGTTGCAGCACTGGATATATTTAGAATCTTCTCTTACAATCTATTGACACTGAAATTTGGGTTACAGGAATTGGTATTTAAACAAGGATTTTGACTAGCCTAAAATGTTTTAAAGTTGTTTTCTGTTAAAATTCCAATCATGTGATCCAGTTAGATTTAGCAAATTATTAATGTCCTTAACTGTGTATAAAAATCATTCCACAGCTATGCGTATATGGAGTTAACTGTTCACAGACTTAGAGCTTAGAACCTTAATCAGGGTGCTCAATACTCTGCAAAATTGGTGCTTACTTTGTCCTTGAGCTGTATGAATGTGTCTTTGAGAAAAAAAACTGCACAGAAACAATTTTCGTAATCTTCTCTTAAAATTCTATAAGAAATAAACAGGAAGGTTTTAAATGCAACTCAGTTCAAAGCAGGATGAACATACTAGATCTAGAACATGTTGGGATTGCAAATGATTGCTTCAGTCAGTTCTCATTTGCCAGCGTATTATGTAGTTGTAGAATAACCAAGTTACAGATGCAGAAATACTCCTTTTTTGCCATATGCATGGATAGTTTGTTTCTAGCAGAGATTATTAGCCTAGGTGCGTGAGAGAACTCTTTTATAGTTCAGATACAGAAGATGGATAGATAGTTATGGCTAAGATTTTGGCAAATGAGCCTTCCCAGTTCCAAGCCAGCTGTGTATTTCTGGCTAGTATGTGCAGAAACACAAACACTGGTTCGTGTGAAAGACACTGTACAGCATAAACTCTGGTCTAGAAGAATGTGTTAGTTCTGGCTTGTTCTTGACTCAGCCAGACAGGAGTTAGCTAGCTCCTTTAGAGCTGTTTGGGGGTCTCTCTGCCATGCTCTCCAGTAGTGTGGGGTTTGGCAGGGTTACTGGTTTAAGCACAGCTAAAGTGTGGGCCAGCTCTGGTTCATTTTCTTGTCACATGTTGAAGATAGATAACAAGTCCTGCTGA